TCTAAATACATCCTAATGGAAGCAGACAATCTGGTCCCCCGTACAACAGGGCACCAGAGCAGCTTCAATACCCGTTGTGTGTCTAAAGCTAAAACTTTTGAAAAGAGTAATGAGGGGTTAGAACTCCCATCAGGTTTGTATTTCCAAATGAATCTAAGATTAGAGCGCCACACCAAGAATAAATTGCCCACGTATAGACTAATTCTGATATGGATTAGGATAAAGAATGGATCCAATGCGTTTCGGGGCCTCGACATCACCCCTTCATCAGGGTTCTAATCTGACAAGTGCGGTTGTAGTTGAAGCAGAGTCAGGGGCGGACTGACAACTCTTGGGGCCCCCGGGCTATAGGGGATCATGGGGCCCCTGTGTCCTCGCCCACACCCAAAAAAGCCTATGAAAAAGCCAATGAAAGGTACCAGGGGCATCTCATGGGGCACCCTACTGACCCCGCGCCCTCGGGCAGTGCTCAAATGGTCAGTCCGCCCCTGAGCAGAGTTTTCCTAGAGGAGGTACGGCTTCCAGTTGTTCTGGTAGGGGTTCTGGTAGGGGTATCTGCGGTGGTGTCTCCGAGTCGGTGATGCCCTTTGTAGGAACCCGTCTGAGGTATGGCTTCCAGTTGTTCTGATGGGGGTATCTGTGGTGGTGTCTCCGAGTCGGTGATGCCCTTTGTAGGAACCCGTCCAGGGGCGGACTGACCATTTGGAAACTCAGGCACTGCCCGAGGGCCTGGGGTCAGTAGGGGGCCCCATGAGATGCCCCTGGTACCTTTTTCATAGGCTTTTTTGAGTTTGGGCAAGGACACAGGGGCCCCATGATCCCCTGTTGCCTGGGTCCCCATGAGTTGTCAGTCCACCCCTGGTCACTGGATCAGAAAGTGAGGGGAAAATCTCTCCAACTGAGCCCTGGAATGCAGCCTACTAAGAGCTAGCCCAGGCCTGAGGACCCTTGAGAGGAGTACTGAGGCAAGGTAGGTGTTGTGATGTTTTCAGGAAGCTACACACATCTTCCTGCAGGTCCCTCCCACCAGACATGATCTACCTGCATTGCATAGAGTTGCACAGAAACTTCCTCAATGTAATGCACTGTGACTGGCTACAAAGTTACAAAGTACATCCAGATTGCTAGTGTAGAGGAGAGTTCTCTGCCTGCAGTCGACTGATGACATCATCTCAGCCTAGGCAAAGTCACTGAACTGAAGGTCAAGAATGGCTTTTTATTTGTAAGATAAAAGTTTCTGTATATTGTTACGTCAGGAATTTAATTCACACATACTTGTAAAATGAATAAAAGGTTCATTTGAAGACATTCTCTGAGAATAGTGTTGGTATTTCCTGTACTGGAGATGTTTTTTAATGGTTGATTATCCCTCATTATATAGGAGAGAGACAAAGGCAGCAAGATCTCCCATTATATATATGTCGCTTCTCATTAGTATGGCAATCACAAGGAAACTTAATGGTCCATATCAGTTTTCCTCAGTCACCTCTTTGCTCCAGAGATTGTCCAGTAATGTCCTTGGCACGAGTCATCTCTCTGATTACAGAATACCTCCCATAATTCACCTTACTTTTATAACGAATTCCACAAATCTTGATGCAATCCACTTACCAGGAGAGCCGGTATGGAAGGCAGGAAAGAAAATAAGGGCTCACCATGCTGACATGAATCTTTATACCTGGCTGGAGTCTAAAGGCAATTCTTGTGATATCAAAAGTAAATGTTAGGGTCAGGAAATTTGCACTTATTTATTGCTAGGACCAGGTCCAATACCTCTATAGGTATTGCTACCTTTTCTTTATGATAAAAACCTTATATAAAAGAAGAAAAATGGGGAGAATAACAGATAACTGAAAGGTAAGAAAAAGGAAAGATATAAAAATTAAGGAAAAAAAAAAAAGATAATATAAAATAAAATAAAATATAAAATATGATAACATAATAAATATATAATAAATAAAATCTCTTAAAATTAAAATAAATAAAATTAAAATAATGTAAAGAATAAAAAGAAAAGGAATACTTAGAATAAAAAAAAAACATAAACATAACAGAAAAAGGAAGATGCAATAAAAAGAGAAAATTAAAAAAAAAAATAAATAAAAAAAATAAATTGTACTATTTCTATCAACATTTGACAAGTTCGAGTTTTGCGGATATATTTGCGGATATATTCAAGAGTGGATTCCCCCCCCCAAAAAAAAAATCCTCTCCTAATACAATACCTCCTAAACATACCTACTAGCATAAATCCCCCCTCCTAGCTCAGTCCGCCCATCATATTACCTCTTCTAGCAAAAAAAAAAATAAATTGTACTATTTCTATCAACATTTGACAAGTTCGAGTTTTGCAGATATATTCAATGGTGGATTTCCCCCCCCCAAAAAAAAAAAATAAAAAAAATAAAAAAAAAAAAAATCCTCTCCTAATACAATACCTCCTAAACATACCTACTAGCATAAATCCCCCCCCCCCCCAAAAAAAAATCCTCTCCTAATACAATACCTCCCAATCATACCTACTAGCACAAACCCCCCCCCCCCCCCAAGAAAAAATTCCCTCTTAGCACAGCCCCCCTACCGTATTACCTCTTCTAGCACAAATCCCCCCTCCAAGCAAAATCCTCTTCCCCCATCCCCCCTAGTTTACCTAGGTCACTGGATCAGAAAGTGAGGGGAAATCTCTCCAACTGAGCCCTGGAAAGATATAAAAATAAAAGGAAAAAAAAATAAGATAATATAAAATATAAATATGATAACATAATAAATATATAATGAATAAAATCTAATAAATTATAAATAATATAAAATAATGTAAAGAATAAAAAGAAAAGGAATACTTAGAGCATAACAGAAAAAGATTGATGCAATAAAAAGAGAAATTCAAGAAAAAAAATAAATTGTACTATTTCTATCAACATTTGACAAGTTCGAGTTTTGCAGATATATTCAAGGGTGGATTCCCCCCCCCCCCAAAAAAAAATCCTCTCCTAATACAATACCTCCTAAACATACCTACTAGCATCAATTCCCCCTAAAAAAAAAAAAAAAAATCACTCTTAGCTCAGCCCGCCCATCATATTACCTCTTCTAGCACAAATCCCCCCTCCAAGCAAAATCTTCTTCCCCCATACCCCCTAGTTTACCTAGGTCACTGGATCAGAAAGTGAGGGGAAATCTCTCCAACTGAGCCCTGGAAAGATATAAAAATAAAAGGAAAAAAATAAGATAATATAAAATAAAATAAAATATAAATATGATAATATAATAAATATATAATAAATAAAATCTATAAAATTATAAATAATATAAAATTAAAATAATGTAAAAAAGAAAAAAAAGAAAAGGAATACTTAGAACATAACAGAAAACGGAAGATGCAATAAAAAGAGAAATTAAAGAAAAAAAGTAAATTGTACTATTTCTATCAACATTTGACAAGTTTGGTTTTGTGGATATATTCAAGGGTGGATTCCCCCCCCAAAAAAAAATCCTCTCCTAATACAATACCTCCTGAACATACCTACTAGCATAAATCCCCCCCCCCCCCCCCCCCAAAAAAAAATCACTCTTAGCTCACCCCGACCACCATATTGCCTCTTCTAGCACAAATCCCCCAAATTCCCCCTCCAAGCAAAATCTTCTTCCCCCCATCCCCCTAGTTTGCCTAGGTCACTGGATCAGAAAGTGAGGGGAAATCTCTCCAACTGAGCCCTGGAAAGATATAAAAATAAAAGGAAAAAAAAATAAGATAATATAAAATAAATAAAATATAAATATGATAATATAATAAATATATAATGAATAAAATCTATAAAATTATAAATAATATAAAATAATGTAAAGAATAAAAAGAAAAGGAATACTCAGAACATAACAGAAAAAGGAAGATGCAACAAAAAGAGAAATTAAAGAAAAAAAATAATAAATTGTACTATTTCTATCAACACTTGACAAGTTCGGGTCTTACATATATATTCAAGGGTGGATCCCCCCCCCAAAAAAAAAAAAAATCCTCTCCTAATACAATACCTCCCAATCATACCTACTAGCACAACCCCCCCCCCCCAAAAAAAAAATTCCCTCATAGCACAGCCCCCCCTAACATATTACCTCTTCTAGCACAAATCCCTCCTCCCAGGGGCGGACTAACCATTTGGAAACTCAGGCACGGGGTCAATAGGGGGCCCCATGAGATGCCCCTGGTACCTTTTTCATAGGCTTTTTTGAGTTTGGGCAAGGACACAGGGGCCCCATGATCCCCTATTGCCCGGGGGCCCCATGATTTGTCAGTCCGCCCCTGATCAGCCCTGATGAAAGAAGTGGGTCAGCCCCTGGGAGGAGTTATGCAAATGTTCAGAAGTCTTCATAGGCCGGTCTCTGCACTTCTCTATGCAATGCAGGCAGATCATGTCTGGTGGGAGGGGCCTACAGGGTTCTGTACATAGCTTCCTGAACAAGGGCGGACTGACCATTTGAGCACTCGGGTACCGCCCGAGGGTCTGGGGTCAGTAGGGGGCCCCATGAAATACCCCTGGTACCTTTCCAAGCAAAATCCTTTTCCCCCTTCCCCCCCAACATTAGTACCCCCAAGTTACTACTCCTATCATATCTTCCCAAATTTCTTACCCCCTGCTGCCCCCCAAATTCCCCCTCCCAACACAAATCCCCTCCCTGCAATCTCCTCATGGTGCCCCCACCACCAGCACAGTGCCAAGAGCAGCCTCCCCTCCTGCCCATCCCTTGTCCCAGTCCTGCTTCCTGTAGACTGTAGAACACTTCCCACTATGTTTTGTTACATTCTGCAGTCCTAACACACTTCCTGTCCTAGAGTGACAACCAGGGGTGGACTGACAACTCATGGGGCCCCCGGGCAATAGGGGATCATGGGGCCCCTGTGTCCTTGCCCAAACTTAAAAAAGCCTATGAAAAAGGTACCAGGGGCATCTCATGGGGCCCCCTACTGAGCCCGGGCCCTCGGGCAGTGCCCGAGTTTCCAAATGGTCAGTCCGCCCCTGGTGACAACACTGCTTCTCCAGAGTACAACGAGTAAGCGTTGTCACCCTAGGGCAGGAAGTGCATTATTGGCAGTAACACCACGTGAAAATAAAGCTTGCAAAGAAAACTAATGCATCCGCCATATCTAAGGACCGGTGAGCTGCATTGTTTTATATTTCTGTCCTTTGATTTAAATACACTTTAAGTCTAATGTAACATGAGCATGGATGGCAGAATGCAGTAATCTGGTTCGTGTGCTCAGCCGAGGCAAAATTCATGTATGAGAGTAAGTGATTTGGTAATGCACTCAAACCCTGAGTAATATCTTGTGTCAGCTGCCTGTGACCTTGGTCGGCAGTGCCACTGCAAAATGCCCTTGAGTATTTAAAGTGCAAAAACAAATGCAGCAGATTGAATAGAGATAATGCTCGGTGTCTCCGGAGACCGTTAGGACTGCTCCAGTTATGACTCCTTTGCTATAAAAGGTGGAAAACCGTAAGCAGAAATCTACAGCTGGGTCATGCATGCACTTTGTGGTTTTCTGTGATATGTATGTTGATTGAGAGCTTTTTTTTTTTCCTCATCTAGAAATACTATTAAAGCCAAATTCCAGGAAAAAAAATGACATTCAAACAGTGCATTCTGCATCAATTACACCAGCCATCCTGCATTGTGTAGGCAAGTGCAGTCTACAGTCTCCACTGCAGGTGGCGCTGGTCTGTAGCTGCAATGCAACCGGAGGAGGAAGTTGGGAGAAACTGGGTTTCTCTATGGTTTCTTTGGAGCAGTGATCCGGTTAGATGCGCTGGATCCAGGTGGCCCTGGTGGCCATTTTGGGTCCTTCAGAGTCTTTTTAAATCCCTGCCCTGGCCTATGGTGTGGTTTTTACGAGTGGCTAGTGTAGGGACAGGATACCCAGAGCTGCTGTTAGAAACCATGGGGGCCCCATACAGCCAACCTGACAGGGCCCCCATTCCCCACCCCCAAAAAAAAAACAGTTTACGATGCTTCAGTTATGAACAGACACAGCACATGAATGGTACCGATCACTCATTGTGAAAGAAAGGGGCTGGTAAATGTGATATATTTACTGGACCCTTTCCCCCACTCTCCATCCAGAAGCATTCTATTGTGTGGTGGCAGCTGCCGGTGGTAGGAACAGTGGAAGCACAGGGGTGTCTGGACAGCAGGGGGAAACGTATCGTGCACAGGGAGGGTGATGGGTGCAGCAGGGGGGAATTAATTAATGGAACCGATCCCCTGTAGGGCTCTCTCTGCAGCAGCTGAAAGCCAGAAGGAGGGAGAGGAGAAGAAGCTGGGTTTCAGCTGCTGCAGAGAGAGCCCTACAGGGGATCGATTCCAGTCAGGGGAGGACTGACAACTCATGGGGCCCCTGAGCAATAGGAAATCATGGGGCTCCTGTGTTCTTGCCACACTCAAACCACACCCAAAAAAGCCTATGAAAGGTACCAAGGGCATCTCATAGGGCCCCCTACTGATCCCGGGCTCTGGGCAGTGCCCGAGTGCTTAAATGGTCATTCCGCCCCTGGTTCCAGTAATTCCTCCCCACCATGTCGATGACCCTCCATGCTCACATCCATTTCACCAAGCTGCCTGGGCCCACCTGCTGGCTTGGGCCCCGAACGGGAGGACTGGTGGTACCCCCTGAGGATACCCATCTGTTAGGGACAGAACTAGCAGTAGGGAGAGGTTCCAGTGGAGTAAGGAAAGAATAGGGCCTACATCTGCCTCTTCAAGAAGCTCTGCTTTGGGTTGAACAGGCCAGGCCACACACCCTTGACAAAATGCGGTTGACAGTTCGGACCCCTGACTCTGCTGTGAGTTGTTGTAAGTGCCCCAGTCAGGTGAGTTTTCCTGCCAGGCTTGTTTGTACTGGTTTACAAGTTCTGCAATACATCATTTTTGGCAAACCAGAACTCTGTGTGCTTTCTACCGCGGTACCACGATGTACCTACCCAACTAGCCCGATCAACGTCACAGTTTCCTCTATGAGCAAAGCTAATTTCCTGCCCTGGTGGTCAGACATTTTTTCCTGCATGCTATCTTCTTGGGCATTGGTCTCCTTACAGCTCCTGCGAGTTTTCCTGCCTCTGAAACCTGAGAGAGGACCCCACTACTGGAATTGTTGTCTCCACCAATAGTAAGTGTGCGGATCAAGCAGGCAATGATGTGAATACCCAAAAAAGGACCGCAAAAAGTAAAAAGAAGAGGGAATGACCATCATGTGACCATGGCTTCAGTTAAGTAAAATGGGCATTTGGATTGTTTTTTTTTTAGTTTTGTTGCATAGAAAAATTAAAGTCAATGCACCAAAAATGGAATATGCGCAACACCCCCAGTACTTATAGATACAGCTATGGTATAAATAGATCTTCCTGGCAACAGTTAATGTCCTTTGCTCCACCCATTTCATTTCAGCTTGAAATGCATTTGATATGAGCAAGCACTAGACAAGAGAGCAAGTACGAAGCACCAAGCTACCCAAAATATAGATACCTGTCCCCGTGACAATCGTCAAATGTGGGTTTTCCCCTAAGGTATTGTCCAGCCTGTGGTTTCTCAAACACAGTTAAATATATCAATTTCTCCTTGAGTCTCACACTGAGAACTTCACAATCTTTTAATCCCTGATATAGAGGATGATGTCAGGCTCCTGAAACACGTTGGATATTGTACTCAATTGGTATTGGAATAAACTTAATTTTGGACTCAAATTTCTGAGGGTTGCTCGTTAATCTCCATGTTAAAATGTCATCTACGTAACCCATAGGGTCATTTTGATCCCTTGCTGTGTTGAAACTGTCCATCCAACAACTGCACCAACCACACAGACCTACGCCGATGGGTACAGAGCAACCAGGAAGTGCTAAACTTCTGCATAACACTGTTTAAGTGAGGAAATGGCAATACTAACCCATAAAACATGTCCTTTGTGTTTTTAAGACACCTGATGTTCATTTTAAGACACAATGGTTCCTCTTCCATCTCTAAACACTAGCAGATACTTCAACAGGTACCTCTTCCTTTTTCTTCTTTACCAAGAGTCCACAGTCTCTTGATGTCCCCCTTTGTGAGGGGAATTAAGATCACTGAGGCATTGAGAGCGACCACCCCCACATTGTGTGGAGACTGGGAATTCTCCACGTGAATACTCAGAAAGGTTGAGTGGACCACATAGCTTGGTTACCTACATTGTGTGGAGACCGGGAATTCTCCACGTGCATACTCAGAAATGTTGACTGGACCACATAGCTTGGTTACCCACATTGTGTGGAGACCGGGAATTCTCCACATGCATACTTAGAAAAGTTGAGTGGATCACATAGCTTGGTTACCCGCAACCACACCAAAGTGAAACTGCTTTCTATTTCTCCTCAACAATACTTTTAAGAATTAATACTATTTACTACACCATAAGGGCTTTCCCAGCTCTACTCCTGTTTTTCAGGTGCACACCTAGGAGCCATTTTCCTATACTTACCATTGAGGACCACCACCCCAGGAGCATACCTACCAACTGAGTGCCCTATGGGACATGCCAATACAGTAGTTTCACCAAACAATCACCTACTGTATCTTCAGCACCAGGTTCCAGCTCCATCAACCTACCCTCCAGAGAACCCTTTCTTAATCTTAACCCTTTAAATAATATTCCTGGTTCAGGGAACCTCAGCTAAAAGTCATTAATAGAGTGGAAAGATTCCACTGGTGGTCAGTGGAAAGAATGTAAGGGGCTGGATTGGATGACTGTGCTCCATGCTGTTCCAGGTCCAATCTTGTTTCTTCTCCAGATTGGATAGTCACAAAGCTGCCTTTTTGGCAAAAGTAAACCATGTTGTGTCACATTCTTCTGGCCTGGGGCCTGCCTTCCTACATATTTCTGGCCTGGGGCCTGTTACCTGGAATAAAGAATTTCCAGTCCAAAGCTTTTCAATGCTTTACTGCAAACTGTTTAGTCAGTCACACTGGCACAATGACATTTCTTCTTCCTCAGAGAATGACAGTCATTAACATGACTCCCTGAACAGTAGGCCTTAGTGCAGAACACTATACCTTCATTACATTACTTCCTGAACAGTAGTCTCTTTAGAGCAGAACATTCAATATGATCACAGAACGACTTCCTCGGATGTTACCAGATGCTGCTCACAGGTGGTTTCACACACAGAGGGTTCCTCTCTCACATATAGGGTGTTCCTCACTTAGGCCCCAAGGCTATCCTGAACCAAGGCACAAGACCCACTAAACGAAGGTCAAGGGTGGCAAAGTTTCTCCATCTTCCCTCTCCTAGTCACTCTGGCAAGTCAGCCATGCAGAAGGCTCTCACTCGCCTCACAGAAGTACAAGATCACTAGGTCTAGTACAGAGGATCATATACCTCCATCCTAATTACTTACAAATACCTCAAACCCAATTGCCCATGGGACTTTTTTTGGAGGTTATACAAAAAACGTCCCATGGGCTATAGATTTTGACTTATTTGTAAGCACAGAACAATATCTTGCTGGTCAGGGGTGGCCTGTTCTCATACCAAAACTTCACTAGGCGCCACCTAAAGCTGTCATATAAATGGCATCAACTCCATCCACTGCATCACCACTACAAATAAAGGGGCACAACACCTGCCAACAAGAATGACCACTTTACATTGGTGGTCAGAATGTCAACCTTACAGTTAACAAAGAAGATCAATGGTGTCATGCTGCTGGCTCTGTCAACTGATATTTGACCCAAAACTATGCAGATCTCATTGGAAGTCAATCAGCCACAGCTCAAGAAACCTCTAGCAACCATTGGTGGAACCCTAAGGTTTCATAGAACCCTGGTTGAGAATTGCTGTTCCATAGAAATCAACATAAAGTTGAAAAAGATCCTAGCCTTTCACCTCAAGCCCAATTGCCCATGGGACTTTTTTGGAGGTTATACAAAAAACGTCCCATGGGCTATTGATTTTAACTTATTTGTAAGCACAGAACAGTATCTTGCTGGTCAGGGGTGGCCTGTTCTCATACCCAAACTTCACTAGGCGC